TGCAGGTGAGGCAGAGGCTTCTTGGAGAAGGAGGCTCTGACTGACAGGTGAGGGGAGGGGAGACGAGGGCATTTGAAAGCAGCCTGCCCAAGGCACCCAAACTCACTTTGCATGAGTTCTGTGGACCCACTGTGCGTCTTGGGCCTCGCTCTCGGCCTTTCTGATTCTCTGGACACACCAGCATCCCTGTCGGCTCGGCTCATGCAGACCTTACGTGGCACTCTCAGTGGATGACCTCACTTGATCCACACACACCTGCAAGGCAGGCCCAGGCCGCATGGGCCCTTGGGATCCATGCGCTGTGAAGTTCAGAATTGTTACTGTCCCTCTCTGAGTCTGGTAATGGCAGAGCCGCTGATATCAGATGGACCCTCCTGCTGTTAGATAGCCGCAAACCCTGGAAGAAATAAAACACGGGTGTGTGAAGTCACAGGGGAGTATATAAAAACAGGCAGAAGCCAGGAGACCGTCTGTATGAGTTCCCCGTAGCTGCTGTAACAAATGTCCACAAACCGAGGGGCTCCAGGCAGCTCAGGCTTACCATTGAGCACTTCCAGGGCCACAAGTCTGGACTCAGTCTCTCTGGGCCACAGCCAGGGTGTTGGCAGCCGCACCCCTCTGGAGGCCCGGGGAGCACTGTCTTTGGCTGTTTCCGGCTCCAGGGGCTGCTTCCCCTCCTGGTCTGTGGGCCCTTCTCCCCTCACCGCTGAACCTCTTCATCGCCACACGTCCTGTCGCCCACTCTGATTTCCTTCCACCTCTGGCAAGGACCCTGCATGGGGCAGCCCGTTGCTCCAGGCCCCGGGCCCAGCTCAGGATCCTCATGGGCATAACCTCCCTGGCTATCATTCGCGGGGTCTATCGTCTTACATCTTGGCACCTTCAGCACGTTTGTGTCTTCGACTCTAAAGTGCGTGGTCTCGGCGTCATGTGTTGGTATGACTTTTAAGAAGCGACTCCGGGGTCTGTGTTCCTGGGGAGCAGGCGCATGTTACAGAGAACCTGGGCGTCTTTGGAAGGCCTTGCTCAGTCCGCCTTAAGAGTCAAGGGAAGTTGCGTAAGCTACTCACGTTAGAAGAGCAAATTAAGGCTTCCTAGGTCGAAGGAAAGGTGTGATAAGGAGGAGCAGAAGTCAGAGAAAACGGAAGGTCAGCCCAGAAAGGTCAACAAATGAAAGCTGGCCCTCTGAAAGACTGCGAGCCCCGACCAAGCCTCCGCCAGCCCAGCGAGAGGGAGCCCCCGCCGCCTACGCGCCCAGGAAAACGGAGCAGCAGTCAGATTTGACAGGCACGGGAGCCTGGCGGGGGACTCCAGATACCACTTCATGCCAGCAGACTCAAGCTCTGAGGACACGGACTGACTCCTCGGGGGCAAAGACTTGCTGCAAGTGACACAGGAGAAAAGGAACCCGAGTAGCCCTGTGTGTTTTGAGAAATAGGTGCTGAGTCGGGCGCGGTGGCCACGCCTGTGACCCCAGCAGCTCGGGAGGCTGAGGCAGGAGGATGGCCAGTTCAAAGCCAGCCTCAGCAACTTAGTGAGGCCCTCAGCAACGCAGGGAGACCCTGTCTCTAAATAAAATACAAAAAAAAGGGCTGGGATGGGGCTCATTAGTTAAGCACCCCTAGGTTCAATCCCTGGTACCAAAAAGAAAAAAATGAGAGAGGGAGGAAAAAAAAATAGAAGTAGAACCTTAAACTCTTACACTAACCCTCCAGGCCCAGACACCTGGTGAAGAGCACTGGCTTTATTAGAACTGATCAGCAAATGTCGCAAGTCGGAAGGAGGGCTGTCACATCCACACAGAACCAGTAAGCCACCCACAGGTCACAGGTCATTAGGAAATGAAACGGAAAATCCCTTTACACCGTCCCGAGACACCCAGAATTCCTGAGGAGTAAATTTTACAAGAAATGTACAAGACACCTGTACCGAGAACCGTGGAGGACAGACGGTGCACAGCAGGCAGGCCCAGAGGAAGCGGAGGGACGCGGCCCCTCCCAAGTCGGAGACCTTGATATCCTCAAACTCTCAGTTCTCCACAGGTGTGTCCCTGAGCCACGGGTCCCTCTGCTGCCCGAGGGGCTGCTTCAGCCTCTGCTCAGGCACCTGCGGAAGGGCCCCCACTCCCGTCCAGGCTGCTGGGAGGCCCACCTGCTGTGCCGGGGACGGCCTCCTCGCCTCCTGGCCCCACACGGCCTTCCCAAGCCTCTTCCTCCAGGAAGCCTCCCCTGCTTCCTCAGTGGGACATGGGACGCTCCTTTGGACTCCCCTAATGTTAGGGTGACCAGATGATTTAACATCCAAACCAGAACTCTTGCCAGTAAAAAGGGGGCCAGGGCCACAGTCACAAACCGGGATTATCAAGGGCACGTGGGGACTAATGCGCCTGACTGAGCTTCACACCGTCCTTGTTAGTGTGCCTGACCCTTCTCCAGACATCGAGCTCCTTGGGGATGGGAACCGTGGCAGGGACACACCCCAGCTCCAATCCAGGGTCCTGCACGGAGCAGTTTGGGTGGCCGGGCTGCGCTGTCTGACCTTGGCCAGGTGTGGGCTCTTCTGGAAGCTTCCAGACTTCAGGACCAGCCTGTCCACTTCCCCTGCTGCACTGCAGTTGGTGGGACCAGTGATTCACTCTGCCCTGTCCTTCACCCATCGCCCATCCACCCAGGTGTCCACCTGTCCGTCCATGGGCTGTGTGCCTCTGTAGCCCCTCTTCCCAGGCCCAGGAGAGAGGGGTGACTTGGCGGCGGCTCGGTGCCCTCGGAGAGCCGGTCCTCTAGGGAGGACTACACAAGACTAAGTGTTGTGTCCGAGTTTGGCGGTGCCTTTGGACGGGAGCTGCTGGGACACGGTGGTGACCTTGGTGCTCAGACAGGGCAGGCAGGCATAGGAGGGGCGGAGGACGGGGTGCCCTCTGCCAGAGCCCCAGACACAAAGCAGGGCAGATGGGGCCAAGGGCAGGGGCACCAGCCGGCAGCACCTGGGCGGGCCAGGGTCAGGCAGGGGGAGGCATCTGATGCTCTGCCAGGAGGGAGGGCCGATGCCCTTGACCTTGAAGGTGAGGCCTGGCTGCCCTGTGAGGCCTCCCCACTTCATCCGGGCAAAGAAGTTTTCTGTTTTCCTTCTCAGTCTGGATCTGAGCGGTCAGGTGACTCACTGGAGGTCACCTGGCCAGAGAGACGCCAGCAGGCAGGAGCTGGGCACTGCAGCAAAGCCAGGATGCTCTCACCTTCCTGGACAGACCACCCAGGGACAGCCGCAGCCCCACAGCTGCTGGTGAGTTTTTTAGGACCAGGGACGTGGCTGCTTCTCTCTGGGCCCGGGCTGGTGTCCCCGCGCCCCAGCAGCAGGCTATGGGAGCCAAAGACCCTGTGTGTGCCCTCTGTCTAGACAGGGCTATTTATCATGAGCCCCAGACACAGCCAGCTGCTGGGTTGCCCACCTGTCCTCTGGGCACACAGATGGACGATGCCATAGGGCCCTGCAGCTAATTCCTGGACTGGAAGCATGGGACTGACCACGGGGCACCCCACCTTGGAAGCTGCCCCCTACTCTTATCCCATCCCCAGGACTCCTGGGGAGGAGCCATGCTCCCTCTTGGGGTCTATGGTGAAGTGTTGGAAGGAGGGAGGCTGTTCACACCCTTCCCAGCCTCCCCACACTGGGGGGCCTCCCCCTGCCCCTAGTCCACCAGACCAACAGAGCTGGGTGACCCCAGGCTCCCGGCAGTCGCCCCAGTCCTGAGGTGTGTCCAGGTGTGTCCAGGTGGAGTGGGGGGCTGCAGCTGAGTTTCCTTCTTTCCATGTTCGAACCTCTCCAAGTTCCCCCCAGGGAGTAGCACGCTGCTTCTCTGATGAGGAAAACACAACTTTATCCAGCAATTCAAAGGCAGCGCAGGTACTCTGCGATAACACATTTGGCAGAGCATGAAGAGAACAAGAAAGAAATTTAATTTTTTTCCTGAGGGTATGTCTTGAAAAACCCGTGAGTGGAGCCATCTTTCACCAAAAACGTAGGGCGGGCCTGTGGGCGCTACATCTTGGTGCTCCCTGCAGGACTGCAATGTTCCAACAGTGGCCACGAGGGGTCTGTCTTTTTGTTTGTGGGGGCCCCTCCTGAGTCTCAGCCCAGCCTGTGCAGGTCAACCCGCAGAAGGACCTGCACCCTGGGAGCCCCCGACTCCCCCTCCCGCCCCCGCCGGCTGCCCCCCTCCTTCCCTGTGTTCTTTCTTGAACTCTGTGGGTCCAGCCGGCTAGGCACAACTGCGGTGGGGGGACCCCAGGCATGGCTACAGGTGAGCAGAGTTGGGGCAGGGGCCGGGCGGGGCCCTCACAGTGCGCCCTGCAGGCCTGGAGGGTCCTCAGGCTCCTGAGAGGCTGGTGGGGAGGCCCAGCCTGCAGCGCGGGGTCAGCAGGGTGGTGAGGCAGCGCCATCTGGTGGCCTGTGCTGGTGACACCAGGAGGCAGAGTTGGGAAGGCGGCCTGTATGGTCACCGGAGCCATCTGTGAGTGGGACTCTGGACCTGGGGTTTTGGGGGGTGCCCACGAGGGTGAGGGAGGGGAACCAGCAACTCAGTTGAAGAATAGGCTTTAGTGAAGAATCAGCTGCATGGCCCCGGGGCAGGATGTGAACATGGCCCCCTAAGGGCAACTGGGCACCTGCCTAGGAGCCGGAGGCCTGGGCTCCAGGCCATCAGCCCCCACCTTGGTCAGGGTGCCGGCTCTGCCCCATGCCGCAGTCCCCCTGTGTGGGATGCAGGTGGCTGGGTGGGGAGGAGCAGGAGCAGACCTGGGCCTGCCTGCAGGTGTGTGTCCCCTGTGCCCCGGGTCCTCTCCACAGAGACCTGATTCTCACCCTGCCTCACCCTGCAGGCTCGGCCTGTCCTTGGGTCCCAAGGCAGGAGCCGGTGGTGGATGGGCTTCTTACAGTCCTGGAAGGGTCTGAGCAAGGGCAGGGTCTCCTGACAGCTCTGGAGATGGGGGAGGGCTGGCCACCCCCTAGACGGGGCCCATGGGCAGGGACAGCCCCCCAGCACCTGGCTGGGACCGCTCCCCCAGGGCCCTCTGCAGGACCGTCCTCAGTGGCTCCCGATGCCCGGGCTGCCGGCCCATCACGAAGTACATGAGGGGCTTGGCACTGCTGTCGATGCAGGCCAGGAGGGTGGCCAGCGGGAGGAAGATGGGCAGCAGGAAGTTCAGGATCGGCCGCAGGCTCCAGTAGAGGATGAAGGGCAGGCGGCAAAAAAGGAGCAGGACCCCCGAGCCCTGGACGATGCCACAGAACTTGGGGCGCGGGCGCTGGGAGCAGCAGTTCACCCAGATGAAGAGCACCAGGCAGGCCCCCAAGGCCACGCACGCCAGTGACAGCAGCCAGGTGACGCTGACCGCGTGGTAGCGGATGCAGGCCAGCAGGCGCGTGCCCTCACGCAGCAGGCCGCAGGCGCTGGCGGGCAGCAGCACGGCGGGCAGCGTCAGAGCCCAGACCAGGACACAGAGGCCGGTGGAGGCGTGCCGGGGCCGGCAGCGCTGGTAGCAGGAGGGGAAGATGTCGGAGAGGCAGCGCTCGGCACCAAGGACCGCCAGCAGCCAGAGCCCTGCCGAGAACCACAGGAAGGTGACCACGAAGTAGAGCGTGTCCTGGGAGGAGCCCAGCGCGGCCTGGACGACGGAGAAGGCCACCTGGCAGGACAGGAACAGGAAGTCCGCAGCGGCCAGGTGCAGCAGGTAGGTGTTGAAGGGGCCCTTCTTGATGTGGAAGCCCAGGTTCCAGAGCACCAGCCCGTTGCCCAGCAGCCCCCCAACAGCGATGACCAGAGTCAGGTAGAAGAGGACGCTGTTGACCGTTCTCCAGAGGCTCAGTATGCCCAACATCTCGGCTGGCTGGCAGGCGCGTGGGCAGAGCCTGTGAAGGGGGATGGGTGCTGACCACCGGCGTCGGTGTGCCCCTGTGGCAGTCAGTAAGCCCTGGATGCGTCCCGCCAGGGCCATCCTGGTGCAACTCTGGGCCCCCCCCAGCTGCTGGGTGACCTCGGCCAGGGCTCAGCCCCCCGTCCTGGTCAGGAGTGCCCAGCCCTTCACCACACTGCAGGTGCACGGTCCCTGGCCCCTCCTGGATGGGCAGAGGTGTGTGCTGATTCCCATGTCCTCCCTGACCAGCTGCAAGAGGCCCAGCCCTGCAGAGGCCCAGCACATGCTGCAAGGGTCTCCTTGAGCACAGGGGACATGCAGGGACCAGGAGGGAGGGGCTCTCCTCTGTCTTCTGTTAGGAGCCCCACAGTGGCCTCCCATCCTAAGGCTGAGGCCATACTCCAGCTGAGATCCCCACCCCAGAGGGTCTCTGGACGGCCCATCGAAGTGTCCCAAGGACACTCCATCCTGGGCCGGGGGAGGTCAGGGAGGAGGAGGAGGGCAGACTAGTGGTGGGGCTGAGAAGGTGGAGGGAGACCCTCCTCCAGGCCTGAGCCAGTGGCTACTCCGTGAGGTTTGCAGAAGGAGAGCTGCCCAGGAGGCCACTCCAAAGCCTCAGGTCAAAGGCAGGGATGTCAGAGCAGGTTGAGGGGCTCTGGGTCCTCTCAGGGAGCCGCTCAGGACGAGGGGAGAAAAGGGCACAGGTGTCTGTAGCCAGTGAGGGTCACTAAGGGGTGTGCCTTCCCGGGGAATCTCAGAGCAGGAGGGAGGGTGTCAGGGTGGCCCCCCACTTTTCCCCCCATAGGGGCCACAGCAGCACCTGTTCCAGCCCAGGGAGATGGGGCTGGGGCAGCAGGACCAGGCTCTGGGGTGAGGGGTGCTGGGGTGGGAGAGCAAAGGGAGAGCCAGAGGGAGACAGAGAGATACGGGCGGGGGAGATGGAGGGGGGGAGGGGGAGGGGGGAGGGGGAGAGAGAGAGAGATGGAGAGAGAGGGAGAGAGAGAGGGAGGGAGATGGAGAGAGAGAGAGGGAGAGAGAGGGAGGGAAATGGGGAGAGAGAGAGAGGGAGAGAGAGAGGGAGAGGGAGAGAGAGAGAGGG